CCCCAAAACCCCAAAACCCCAAAACCCCATTCCCTTTCCTAGCAGTTGAAATTTGTTAATGGATTTACTAGATTTTTGGAGTGGAGGCTGGAGCGAAGGAATATACTTGTTCGAATTTTGAAAGATTTTGAAGGTTTTCACAGGCTATATGGGTTAGGAGGGATTTACTAATGGTATTATATGGATTAGGATAGCATAGATCGAATGTAAGCCTGAATGTATGATCTAGCACATTTGGGATAATTCATGATAGAAGAGAACAAGGGGTCTCCAATCAAGGATTTGTATTTACTTCAATCAAATATGGAATATAATCAGAGTCAATCATTATGTCAAACCCAAACAGTTCGAAATAAGATTGAGGAGGAGACTTGCTACGTTGTGAAGGATCAAGGAGATCACCTGCTCAAGTGAATGTATCTTTTACTAATTCTTTGATCTTTGGATAAATATTCTCATAGAAAGACACTCCTTCATGAGTTTCGTTTATATATTTTTCGAAGTCATTGAACGAAAGTTTATTTCAATTTTCGTATTTTCCATAATCTTCTCATTTACTTTGAATTGCATCATTTGTGAGATGAATAAAAGGATCTTGAGGATCTTCAAGATTAAATCCTTCTCAACTTGTTCTAATATATCCTCCTTGGTAGAAATATCCTCTCTTGATACCATTAATAGAAGTGAAAAGTCCAAAACATCTGATATCAAATTTCCTATCTTGATATAGCAAAGGTTGTGTTATATATTTTTGAATTATATAAGACTTCCTTTTGTGTTGCTTAATGTATTTCTTAATCTGATCAACGTTCTCACATACCTCAATACCGTTACCTCTGTTGCTGCACTCGCCAGGCTTAATAATCCATAAGCTATTCTTGGCCGGATCTTTAAAGTCAGCAGAATTCTCATTAATAAATCTCAAGAAGTTGTCATCAGAAGAGGAGCTCACTAGATAAGTAACGGGTATAAATTTCCAAGGATCTTTACCCTGATTTGAGTAATAACTGTACATATTTTTGAACAGATTTTTCTTATTAGATATACTAGAGTTTCCAGGGATATGATTATACAATCGGTAGTGCAACATGTCATCATCTCTATAAGTCAGAAAATATCTGTACTCTTGAATCAACTGGAAAGATTTTGGATTGCTTAAGATCCACTGAGTCCATACTAACTGGCATTTTGATGAATTACCCTTGTGTTTTATTCTAGCCCAACTTCTTTTATTTTATCACCGACTTGACTACATTTGGATTATTACCTGGCTTAATTAGAACTACTGGATTTCTTAGTTTTGAAGGAGCGATGGAATACTGATTTTGTAGCATCGATGTCAAAGCTTGCTGACTATTTGAACAAGCCTTAATATCTAAATATGACCAGAAATTCTTACCTTCCTCCTTTAATGAAAGCGATTTCTTTAACCACCGATAGGTAGGATTTTCTGAGTATTTCTCTCCAATATAATTTTTAATCAAATTAAGTTTGTAGAAGTCCGTGTTATAGTTGTTAAATTCATTATCCTCTCAAGAAATATCTAAATTATCCCTAAACAATATTACATGCTGATATTTCTCGTTCTTTGATTTTGTTTCCAATACTTTGTATTGCTTTCTTCACCATAATTTTTAATGAAAAGATTAGCTTCTCTTTATGCTTTCCAAGGAAGATTTTTGAATCAGTCCTAAAAGTAGTGTTGCTAATTTACATATCTTTAACCCTGAATGTTTTTAGAATTGACATTCTTTTCAGATTCTTTCGTGATGATTCATTACTTTTCCTCTCACTCATCCTTGAAGAATTAAGAGAAGTTTTGCTATTGTTCCCGTCACGCACAGCCACATTATCATACTATCAAAAGATTAAAACAGCATACGCTTTTTAAGGAGTTCAGATTTCCTTTGCTCTTATTTCCTTGTAAAAAGTTGTAGCAAACCTCTTTGGGAGGTTCGTTCTGCTTACTTTGTTTCTCTTTATCCATATTATCAAACTGTTTTGAGAAGAATGTGAAGAATTTAGGAGGTAATCCTAGATAGTGAGAATATAGGCTTACCGTATTTGGAAATCTGTTTCCTTATCAGAATACTACTCTTGTCATCTCACTTAGAATTGTTCTGAGATAGAATACATGAACGTTTAGTATTTGATATCTTGAACTTTGATTTCATAGAGCTAGCTCTCTTGGTGCTGATCTTTGAGAAATCATATTTCTTCTGAGGAAGCTTCCAGTAACCAGTTCTCTTATGGCACCCATCTTCTCTATGAATTCGAGAAACTCTTGGAAGACTTTGGTCAATCCTCAGGCTATTGGGATAAAATTATAGATGACTTACGGATTCAGACTCATTTTTAGAGAAGCATTGTTCATGTTCATCTCACAGATGCTTTTCGCCAAAGAAGTGGGTCTAGGCTTTCTATACATTAATTTTAAGAACTTACTTTGAATAAGAAGATGTATGCATGTAGTTGACTCTCATGCTAGAATTCAAATTATTTCCTTTCATAAGGATTTTGAGAGATTAGAGACTTCAGGTTCTGTTTTTTAGAAGGAGATTCCCTCAGAGTTTGAGTAGCAGTATCAGGCCATTTACAGAGATTTTTCAAGATACGGTTCACTTTCTCTTTGGACTTAATATGAATGTCCACTCTTGAAGGAGTTTCGACTATTTAGTTAACCCAAATAGCAGCTTACTTTGGTTATAAGAATTCTTAGGAATGATGATCAGATCTTCTCTAAACTTCTTCTTTTTCACGACTGAATTTTAAATGATAAATTTACTTAATTTTTTCTCTGGAGAAAAGTTTGAATTGAGGTTGCAGAAACCTTTGTCAACTGACATTTTTATTTTATAAAATTATGAATCTTGGGGTTTTGGGGTTTTGGGGTTTTGGGGTTTTGGGGTTTTGGGG